CGGCCTCCGCCCCGCTCTCCATCGCCGCCCCGGCCGCCACGACGCGCAGCGGCTCCCCGCCCGCGTGCATCTCCACCGTGCGCAGCAGCGGCACCGCGCCGCAGTGCGGCGGCAGCCGCCGGCACCACCCGGCCTCGGCCTCGGCCTCCGCCCCGCTCTCCATCGCCGCCCCGGCCGCCCCGTCTCCCGCCGCCGCCATTCCCCGCTCGAGCCCCGCGGAGAGCAGTGAGCCTGAGCCCCGCCCCCAGGGTGAGGCCACGCCCCCAGGAAGCCACGCCTGTTTATGGCCACGCCCCCGTAGGGCGTGTTGTCCCTCCGCTGGTGGCCACGCCCCCTCATTTGACCGAACCTTATGTACGACCACGCCCCCGCTTGAGGCCCCGCCCCCGATTATGACCACGCCCTCCTGCGCGTGACCACTCCCCTCCTCGGGCGGCGGTCTGTTCTGATTGGGTGCCCGCGCGGGGTGAGGCTGCTGAGGTCACTTTCCGGCGTCGGAAGGGGAGGTGACGTATGCGGTAGTGCGTCGGCGGAGGGGCGGTTGCCGGGTTACCGAGGATGATCCGCTCCGGTAGGGCGGCCGGGCCGGGGCCGGGGCCGGGGCCGGGGCCGGAGCGGGGGCCGGGTCGGGTCGGGTCGGTGCGGCGGGGCCGGGGCCGGGGCCGGGGCCGCCGCGGTGACGGGTCCGCCTGTGCCCGCAGCCGTGGACATCCAGCCCGCCTGCCTCGGCCTCTACTGCGGCCGCACCGTGCTCTCCGTGAACGGCTCCCTGGAGACCTACGGCGAGTGCGGGGTGAGCGGGGCCCGGCGCGCGGGGAGAGGCGCCGCCGTGCCGGAGCTTCAGGCTGGGTTTACTCTCCGCCGTTGGGRTTATCGGGGCTTGGGCGTTTTGTCAGTGCGGCCTTGGGCTCTTGCCAGGTGTGTCCTAGAGGGCAGAGAACTGACGACAACAAGATCTGTCGCGAGTGCGTCGGGTCGCCGGACCGCTACGACTGGCTCTACCTGGGCTTCATGGCCATGCTCCCCCTGGTTTTGCAYTGGTTCTTCATTGAGTGGTATTCAGGGAAGAAGAGGTTAGTATGCTCGCCCATTATTTTTTAAATAAAGCCTACCATATGTGATCGGTGTGGGTTGCTGAATGGTTTTCACAGGCACTGAAAGCTGCCCTGGTGCAGCAGCACCTCAGTTTGGGGTGAGGTGCAGTCTGTATGGGGCCAGGAAAGTTTGTGCTTTATTGTGTAAGGTATTGCATTGGCCTGTGACTGCTTATCTTCTATTCTTAGCCTATTTCTATGAAAAGAAAASCTTAATTTCCTTTATTTTCTCTCTCTTTATAAGAGTGAAGCAATATGTTTCATATTTTAACAAACATCCTCTTTRCAAATTGGGAATCTTCATGTCTGTTTCTTTTAAATATTGAGGCAGCTTTTYCCCTCTTGCCTGTCAAGGAGAGCTCTTCACATTTATGAATGAAAGGCTGGATTTGTGCAGCTGGATTTGTGCACTTGTCCTGCACGTGGCAATAAGGCTTCTTCCCAACCGAGCAGCTGCTGAGCAGAATCTGGATTGTTTATAATTTATGTAGGAGTGAGTGTATTTGTCGTCTGATGTGTTGGACATTAAACATTTTGTTTAAAACGTTGTAAACAAAACGTTTAATGTCCAACGTATCAAAGTTTTCTAGCAGAAAACCGAAGTTTTCTAGCAGGTTTATGCCATTATGAGTCCCAGGGCCCGTTAGCTCTCTGGGTCTCTGCTCTTTGCTCGCCACTGAGGTTTCACATAGTGGCAGCCCAGCAGCCGCGCGTGTCTCGCTGTCCCCCGCAGCTCCAGCGCGCTCTTCCAGCACGTCACCGCCTTGCTGGAGTGCAGCGTGGCCGCCCTGGTCACGCTGCTGGTGAGCGACCCCGTGGGCTCCCTCCACATCCGTTCCTGCAAGGTAAAGAAGCTCTCGGACTGGTACACGATGCTGTACAACCCCAGCCCCGACTACATCACCACGGTGCACTGCACTCACGAAGCTGTCTACCCTCTGTGAGTATAAAGGCTGCTCTGCTCCTGTCTGCTCCTGTCTTTTGTGCAAGTTTGTTTCCCACCAAATTGATTCTTTTCAAAGGGTAAAGAAAGTGTTTTGTTATATATAACTTAGGGCAATAAGTCGCAAAAACCTTGAAGGCTTTCAGTTTGTTGAACTGTCTCGTGTGTGAAATACCTGACAGCTTTTTGAATCGGAACAAAGCAGCTATCTAGCAGTGTCTATTTTAGGTGTTTTCCTATTGCAGGAAAATAGGCGGGGAAGCCCGACCTGTCACAAAATACTAGTGTGATTGTAATTGCTGATGTTCTTACACATGGTGCAAACCTCACTAATGCAAATTCCAGGGAACTTTTTAGGAATCGCTGCTTTCTCCCTGCCAAAGAAGGTGGCAGTCTGATTATTAAGCCCTTAAAACTTGYTTTTGCTCCCATCTCTGCTGCATCATGGCTGTTGGACCTAGGAGGAGACAGTCTGTCATTTTGTATTTGCACATTCCCCTCCTCAGGCTTTAGATTTGACTTCTCTAATCCCAAGTTTCCCAGATCGGAGGGAGTCTGCAGAGCACAGAGGACTGCAAATATTAACCAATCTCCCTCTCTTTGGCAGGTACACAATTGTGTTTATATACTACGCCTTCTGCCTTGTTTTAATGATGCTACTTCGACCTTGCCTGGTGAAGAAGCTCGCCTGTGGTTTGGGAAAGTCTGACCGCTTCAAGAGCATTTACGCAGCCCTTTACTTCTTCCCTGTGCTCACGGTGCTGCAGGCRGTTGGAGGAGGGCTGCTCTGTGAGTTCTCTCCTTGTAGCATTAAAAAAGTCCCATAGTCGCATGTTAACAGACAGCCTGAGGGGTGGGGAGTGAAGGGGGACGCTGCTTGTGCTGCTGGAGGCTGTCCCTTTTTACAGAAAGGGAACAGAGCTGGGTATGAACCAAAACTGGATGCCTCTCTTAGATGGAATTAGTTCTGGGAATTAACTAGCTTTGTTTGAGCTTCCCTGCCCAGGCGGACTGTTTCCTGTCTTCCTTTTTCAGCTAGTGATTTAGTGCACAGTAATGCCAACTAGAAATGTTAACATCATTTGCACTTGTCAGAAGTTAACTTTAACACCCAGTTTAAGCATGAGTGTCATCCTTGCTGCTCCTTTTTGTTGTGTGCTTGATATCATGCTAACAGGCAGTAGCTTAGTTCAAGTGTGTTAGGCGTGGAACAATGACACATATTTCAACAGAGATCTTGCCTTCTTTTTCCTTCTAAAATGTTCAATGTTTGCCTCTAGATTATGCCTTTCCCTATATCATACTGGTTCTGTCCTTGGTTACGCTGGCTGTGTACATGTCTGCTTCAGAAGTGGAGGTAGGTAAACACGTTTTTCCTGTTAAAACTCATAACATAAAATTATATAAATGAGTAGAGTCTTTTTTTGTCCTGCATTTTCTCAGCAGTGCACTCTATTTAAGTCCTTATGACTTCTCCTCTTAGCTGAAGGAAGATCCTGCAAGACTTTTCTCGTATGGCTTGCTGAGAAACAGTATTATATATGGGACAGACTCGAACTCTGGGGCTTCATGGGGTGTTTCTGCCCTAGCAGCAGCTTCTCTTAAACACCAGGTGCTTGGTGACAGGCTGAATACTAACAGGATTCTCTGTTTATTTTGCAAGTCTTTCAAGGATCTTCTTGTCAGGAAGAAGAGACTTGTTGTCCTCTTCAGCCACTGGTTACTTCATGCCTATGGAATCATTTCCATTTCCAAACTGGATAAGCTCGAACAGAACCTCCCTTTACTGGCCTTGGTACCTATTCCTACCCTCTTCTACTTGCTGACTGCCAAGTACACCGAGCCATCCCGCATCCTCGCGGAAAGTGGAAACGGACATTGAAGAGCCCGTGCCAACAACTCTGTCCTCATAGTCTGGATGAAGCAAGCTTAGCTCGTCAGGCATTTGAAAACTTCAGTTTTAAAATAAGTTGTTTATGTACATGACCTTGAGGTGGAACACCTCTGAGTTTGTGGAATATTGAAAAACTGCACTTTTTATTCTTCATAAATAGGTATCTAGATCAAAGGGAATGTCTTTGTAGCTATTTATCACTGTGAAGCTGTATAAAAGCTTGTTGACACATTCTAGTACACTTTTTTTTTTTCTTGTATATGTTTATTTCCTAACGCAGTATTTCAGATGTTATTTGAATAAAAAAGTAATGGAACTTGGTTCTAAAGTTTTTCTCTTCCCCTGAAACTTCCGCTAGGCTGAAAAGTTTCAAATACATAAATATGGATGCAGCTCCCTCTGCCCCTTCCAGCAGAGGCAGCGTGGCTGCCTTAGCCTGTGTGCAGTGGGTGAGTGAGCAGCCCAGGGAGCAGCATGCAGGAGAGAGCCACTCACAAGCGTGCACCAGTGCTCCTTGTCCACATTTATGCGTATTCCTTATGGACAACATGGACCAGGTCCAAAAGTTAGATTGGAGGTTGGTTTTAAAAAGAAAAGCAACAACAGATCTCGGGCAAAAATGCGCTTTAGTGAAGAGTACAGCTCTTGGGTAAGCGTAGGGAGATGTAGAATCACAGTAATTTTAAATGTCCAAGGATCAGGGAGTCTATTGAAAGCAGAGCTTGCAGGAACTCACAGACTGTACTGACCGTGCATGGCAGAACCAAACGTTCACCTCTCCTTCTGGGCGCTAATATTTGACCCTTCAGCTGAATCTGGAATATGAAATATAAATTAAACTCACTGCATCACCTGCTCTCACTAACAGGAAAAAAAGGCAGGGGGGAAATTGATTTAAAAAAAAAAAAAAAAAAAAAAAAACCTCAATAACAGCCATAGAGGCAGAGCAATATTAGGCAGATGTAACTCTGTAATTACAGAAAATGTTACCCAGACTCAAGGATTTCAAAGCAGCCTGAATGCCAGAGCACTCAGCTCTGCACCGTGATTCAATACAGATTCTGTAATAGATTCTGTGGCTGTAGCAGCACAGACACCAAAGCTGGGACTTGTTACGCATCAAGACTCTGCACTAACAGTGAACTGCAAAATCTGCAGGATTTGAATTCAAAAGAGGACTTGAAGCAAGTGGTTTGGCTTGTATGAGCATACAGCCTCCTGTGTCCACCCTCCAAGACAGCACTATAAAATATTGTTAATTTAAATGGAAATTGCACTACAAGCTGCTCATGTGCAAAATTTTAGACACTACAAACATTAATTAACCACTAGTCCTGCCGTGATAACCGCGTAGCAACCAACTGCAGGAGAGAGGGTTTGTTAGTTTTATTTATCCYTTGTGCAAGCTGAAGTAAATTCTGCAAAGATCAGCAACAATCTTAAGAATTTTCTATAGCACCCCCCACACACTGTCATTATCAGAAATTTCAAGGAAGTGGAAACTAAATATTATAAGGCATTGTGTTATAAGGCATGCCTAATTTTGCTAATAAATACCTCAGCTTTTCCACTGTGACTAAGTCTAGATCTGCAAATAGGATGATTTTGTATGACACAGCTATCCTGCTGTTTTCTAACAGGCTACTAAAAATGAATATATTCAGTGGAAGTCCAATGGGGTTAGAAAAGAAAGGAAAGGAAAAGAATAAATTTGCTGGATCTTACGGTGAGCCACTCTGGATGTTTTTTCAACTAGAGAATCAAGTCCTTCCAGATTATTTTGTAGCCTCCTATTAATATCACCCAGTTTTTCCTCTCGTTGTTGAATTTTTGTTATTAGAGCTTCCATTGCTTTTAGTATTTCCCGCTCATTCTCCAAAAATTCCTGTTTGTTATGAGACAAAGTAGAAAGATCTCATTAATAAGACACTTGTTTTATTTATCTTGCTTTTCCATAGCTTGCCTGGCCACCAAACCTGTAGCTCTGCTGGAAGCTTTTCATTAAGTCCCCACTACTGTCACAGAGCAGCTAGAAAGCCCAAGCTTAATACTTTTCCCCTGACTTTAAAAAGTGTATTGACATATTTGCAATATGGAATTTTATCTTTGGCATAGAAAGCAAAGAATTTACGCAAAGCAGTAGGAGATAAAACTAAAATTCACCTTTTGCATAGAGCTGTCCTCTGACCATCCCTTCAGAAGAACATCTACAACAGAATCCAAAGTTAAAATATGGTAGGGAGCTCTGAAAAAAAGATCTTGAAGATATGCTTTTAAAAAATCATTTTGTTTTGAAATACATCTTGACATAATTACCATGAAACACTGCTAGGTCATTCAGGAGTTGGGCTGTTGCTGACTTGTGATTTTCTGCTTCAAAATTCATTGCAAAAATATCTTCTTTTATCTGTGCATTGCACTGTGAAAAAAATAATTACAGACAAGGACTGGTCACAGTTTTTAATGATTCTAGACAGCTTCCCAGTTTCGGGAGAGACCAGAAAGAAAAAACGATCTATTTATTTATGTTTTTAAACTTAAAGATCTACAAGGTTAATGGACTTGCTCAGGTCTCATTCTCTTTTGACAACAGCATCCTCTTCATCTTGTTGAACAAATGTYGACAATTGCCAAAATAAACAAACATACACATTAGCTATGGCTATACCAGCAAATAAAATGGGTCAGGGCACAGAGAGCAAGTGAAATGGCCCAGGCCATGCCCGTGCAGGAAACTTTTCCCCACTCTCTTCCCCTTGGGAGGTGGGACTCATCCACCACGGAGAAATTGAASTAATTCTTGGTTTGTCTTGTTCCCAGACAGATTGGGCTGAAATGTGCTACRTGGCCCAGGTCAGAGACAAGAAAACAGCATTTCCTAGTGCAATTCAAGCATCAAAATAAATTAAATCCAACCTAGAGCCTCTCAGGTCTGTCAGTGAACTACACATAAAGGGAGAAAAATGTGTGCTGTAAATAAGGGTTTCCTTTCTGGYGGAAGCCTTTGTTTCCATGAGGATATGATCAGACAAAGCCACAGAGCAGCTGGTGCCCAGCACCTCAACGCCAGCCTATGTAGGGGTTGGCTCTGAGCATCAGCCTGGCACCGATCAGCAGGGACGCTGCTTTTATGGCCTTTCCTTGTGGCTTTTATGGAAAAGAAGTTCCACTCGCATGACAGCCCAGGACCCCAAACTCCTACAGACTATTTCCAAGGACCGCTTTGGAAATGTTGGCAGCTTAAATTCCATTCTCAAAAGTGAAGGAGCGACTTTGGTATCTAAACCTAGTCTTTTCCAGTGAAGATTTAGCACCCAAGTGCTCAGAATGTGTCTGTAAAAATGGGAACTGGATGGAAAATCAAAGGCTTAGCCAAGAGGGAAGTGCCCCCAAACTGTCTTGTTTGAGACCAGAGGTGGYGGCATCGGGAAAAGGCAGCAGTTTCTCCACTCACCAGAAGTCAACAAGAAAATAATGTCCATCTAATCAAAGTTCTTCCCTGCTGTTTTGCTGAGAGGTCTGACCAGAGGGGCTATTTTGTTGAGTGGCTGCTGAAGCGGCTCCTATTCTTGATTAATCCTCTCTGATTTACAGTGATAAAAATTGCATGTAATCACAGAATAATTTAGGCTGGAAAGGACACTAAGAGGGCATCCCACTGCTCAAAACAGAGCCAACTTTGAGATAAAATTGGGATGCTCAGACCCTCATCCAGCTGAGTTTCAGTACCTCCAAAGTGCCATGGTCTCTCTTAGTGCCTGATCGCGTTTATCAGGCATGGTAACATGATGATCATAACATGATCAAGCTGAAAACAAGCCTCCTGTTTTGAAGGCAGGAGTTCACCATCAATTTCACCYGGGAAGCTGGCTATGGGCTCTGGCAGGCAGCACAACAGCCACCAACACCACGCTTTGGGAATAAAAAATACAGCCCTGGAATGGGATCTTCATACTGTCACCCCTCAAGGCACTCACGGATTTTAATCTGCAGTTCTCAGTGTGCACGATGTCGAGTTTCCTGTTGATCTCATAGATGTCTCTTTCCAGCCACTTGGCACTCTCTGTATGATGTTTCAGTTGGTCGAAGGCAGCGCTGCGCTTGATCCGCAATTTCTTCCTCAGGTCCCGCTGTAAATAAATCCCCTAGTGCTAACGGAYCTTGGCTCTATGTAGGATTTTTGCAATCTAACTAAACAAACTGGAAAGGACTTTTATTCTGCAGGAGCTCTCATTTAAGACCTGAGAGATGCAAAATCAAGCCTAAGAGCAGCTTGCTACAAATGCTGGGCCACAGGTTGAGCCGGATAGAAACCCCGTACACGAAGCAACTGTGAAACCAAGGTGGACCACAGAAGCAGAAGACCTGAGAGAAAGACAGGACTCTAAATTTCAAGCAGTTACCATGCCCTCCTTGAGCCTCTCCGTAGTCTTGATTGACCGCTCAATGGATTTTCTGGCTTTTATTTCCTCATCCTTCCTTTCTAAAAAGCAGAGAAAGGATTTTTAGACAGTGTAATGGCTGAACATCAAAGTTAAACTGTTATAGGGAAAACTGGGTTTCATCAGCAAGTGATCTGTTTAACRTGTCTGGCATTATTTTTAAATGAGCCCCATTTACATCATGGCCATGTCTACAGATTCCAGTCGTTCCAAAGAGCTCAGTTCCTGCTTGCTTCACTGTTCACCTGAACCACAGCCAAAGGACTATGGCAAAGGTGCTTTCTGAAAAGAAGAGACGGTACCATTCTGCAGAAGATCTACATAATACTTACTCAAAAATGATTTCCTGAGTTCTTCATATTTTTCCTGATTCTCTTTTAATTGTCTCTGGGTTTCTTCCAAGGTTAGTTTGCTTATATTTAATTCTTGTTCCTTTTGATGCAGATTCTCAGTCACAGTTTTGAAGTCATTCTTTAATGAAAACAAATGTTAATCAACAATCTAAGCAACATTTAATGCATAAATAATTCAGAGCAAAAAGCATAGAAAATAAGACTGGAATTGATCCCAAGAGGTCATCTTAGTCCATCCCTCTGCTCTACAGCAGAATCAATTAGACCTAAGTACCCATGACAGATGTTTGAGCTATCCTTAAAAACCCTAGCAATAGAGATACCATGTCTCAGACAACTGATTCCAGGGTTTTACTATTTTTACTATCTATGCTGTCAATGTTTTCCAGGGGTAAACTATTTCTCAAATTAAATCTGCTCTGTTCCCTGTTATTTGTCTCATCTCAAGTGTACAAGGGGTAAAGTTTATCATCTTGCTATATATCTTTTATTCATTTGGAGTTTACTAGTCTGTCTTATCTTAGCCTGCTTTGTTTTAAGCAAAGAAGCTACACGAGAAGCCTCAACCTTTCTCCTGATCATTTTGGTGAGCTCATTTCATCTCTCAAGATGATCTACACTCTTCTTAAAATAAGGGATCAAAAAGCAGACACTGCACAGCAGCTGTATCTTGCCAAAACTGGAAAGAGCAGAAAATTAACCTCACACGTCTTGACAYGCTGTACAGTCCTTCCCACGGCCTGGGTTGATAGCTGCCCTCCTTTACCACTACCTATCCTTCCATTTGGCCGTTCTGTTTGACCCCCTTCAGGCTGGATTTGTACAGAAAACCACTTCTGCCAAAGCACACCAATTTGTATATTTATGTCTCCTTCCTTTTTCTTTTTTTTTTTTTAATTACTTCTTCAACTTGCTAAGAGAATTCTAGCTCTACCCTCCAGAGGGTGCTCCCGGCCCTATCTTGTTAGCCATCTGCACACCCAACAAGCGTTCTCTCTATCCTATCCTTCGAGTTATTAAGGAAAACACAGATGAATTCCAGTCTGAGAACAGACCCTCCTCAAACGAACCAAGTTCATTAGTCTATTCTGGCAGTAAAACATCATCTAGGATGATTTTTTTCAACCTGCAAAGGAGAAAACTCAAGGGATATACAATAAATGTATATGAAATCATGAAAGCTAAAAACAGGGAGAAGATAAGGACGCAACAGCCTTTCATTGCTTCTTAGAACACAAGAATTGCGAGATGCCAATAAACCTTTGGGTCACTAGCTTTAAAACAAAAGATTTTTTTTTGTTCTTATTATTTATAATTAAATAAATTACAGAACTCACTGTTCTAGGTTGCTATGGAGGACATTTACATGAATTAAAAGAATCAATCGRCAACTGAAAAATGTGGCATTGAGGATTTAACATAGAATAAAATTCCATCAAAAGCTGTTAGCCACTAAATGCAGATACCATCTCCAGCCAAGGAAATTCATGACACCCTATTTGTCAGGGAGAGTGCAGAAGAGGATCATTCTGCACTTGACTGTTTTGATATTTCGCCTCGAAGCAGCGCTGCTGATCACTGCTGAAGTCGGGATCCTGCAAGGACCAAACTTGTGTCTTATCCCTCATGGCTATTCTAGGAAATGAAGCTGATTTGGGCTTCACCTAGTTTTTACGTGCACTTAAAAATTATTATCAATAATTCTGAAATGTCTTCAGCTACTCAATGCCCTGAAAGTGAATTTCATCAGACCCCATGTCCTGCAAACCTCTAAATTCCCAGGTATGCTGGCTACCTCGTTCCTTCCTGATGCTGGCCCAGGTTATCACCTTCCTGGATGTTTTSATCAGCCATTTGGTTCTGCTCACCCATCGGTGAAGCAAAATAAATTTAAAAATTTCTTATCACCAACGTGGAGTGCTTTCCTGTTATTTCACATGTCCTTTCCTACAGGCATTTCATTCTGAGGCTTGATATGTCTCACTTTTTCCATTCACACCCAGGCTTAGGCAGGTTTTTTTTTCAATCCTACTGATACCTGTTTAATGTAAATGTAACTACATAGCTCCTGGATCCGAGCTTTATGTGTGACAAGGCTGCACAGACCTAACATCCTGGGAATCTTTGCACTGGATTATATCAAAACAGGGGAGAAGAAATACTGGGACTTAACGACTCAGTAGATCATCACCTGATCTTGCACATATATTTATCACCTGAATACCATTACAAATCTGTACATTTTAATCTTTCTGTGTCTCATTTCTTAGCATTTCTGACCTCTGGTTTTAAAGCAAAAAACATCAAAGATATGTATGTGCATCTTGGCATAGTGGCATCTCGTGTTGTTACAGCCAAAAGGAACACGTCAGGAATCACATGACTTTTTGGTAGAAAATTACTTTTTTTTTTCCTCTTTTGTTGCAATAGGTAAATAGATAAAGGTATAGTCCTGTAATATGGTGTTACCATTACAGCAACAAGCCATAATTTTTGTATTGAGTTTTCTGACCCTTTTGATAAAGCAATAGTAGCTGCTTTTTCTTCTCCTTTGTGACAGTCACAATTACTTCTTCAACCTGGTTCTGTCCAGGCTATCAATAAAAGTCAACCCTCAGAAAACATTTTCATCAGCACTGTAYTACGTGAGAGAAAAACACCTTTAGAGTGGGTTATATTAAAAAAAAAAAAAAAAAAAGTCATTGGAATAAGACTAAAGGTATATCTAATGTCTCTTTTATATATGAGACATAGCTCAACTGACAGAAAGAGGATGCAAATGAATCCAGCACAAATGTTTGTTTAGCAGGGACAGGCTCAGCCTTGACSTCCAGGGAGGCCTCAGCAGCTACGTGGCCATAACCGTGTTGTGAGATACAGGAGCACATCCTCTGCTGACAGCCAAATGAGAAAGGTCCCCACGGCCTTCCGTAAATCCACCTCTCTAAGGTCAGGTACACAAAGAGGATATTTCCTGCACTCCTGACATCTGATTTCTCCTAGTTCAAATCAGACTGTTGACCGAGACTCAGACAGTGAAGATTGATTCCCCGGGGACAGAGCATGTTTTACATCCTGGACATCAGAAAAGTGCCTGAAAATTCTGAGCCTCGCGTGGCTCATGTTCAGCATTCCAGTGTCTGGCTTTCTTTGGGAAAAAAGCACTCACCAGTGTTTTAAAGAGCAAAGATATAAGCAGCCTTAGGTTCTGCCTTGCACAACCCRAGTCACTCTGACAGATTTACCACACCAATAACTTCAAGCAGACTTTGATCAGTGTCTGAAATCAGGCTGTCAAAATTTCATGAATGTTCAGCTGTTAACCCCTAAACGATGGAACCAATTCTACATTGGAAACTCCCAGCAAAGCTGAACTCCATGCAGGGCAAGACTGAATCTGCTCTTACACATATATTTATTTTAAAATGGGAGACATTCCTTCTGAGAAACTTGACTGCATGGCATTCTGTTGACATATAGGGCCATATGCAGAGAAATGCATGTGTGGGTATGTACAGGTGTGTAGATTCCAGTGGCTCAGTAATCTCAGGGTCTCATCCTAAAGGATTGCCAGTATAAAAAGAAAGAAAGAAAATGAGAGCCACACAAAACTGAAAAGTAGAAAGTCTACCTGAAACAATTACTGGCAGATGGGTCATACTTCCTTTGCAGATCCCAGTGAGCACCTTGACTGAGATGCTCCAAACACTGCCAATTCATCCACTGGAGACCTTCTCAAAGCCAAGAAAAAGAACAAAACTTACCTCCAGGCATTTTATTTTGGTAGTAAAATCCTCCTTATAAATCCTGTAGTCAGCTTCCSTCTTATTTATCTCATCATCCAGGGCTTTGACTTGGTTTTCCGACTGCAAAAGTTCTTTCTCTAAGTCTTCAATCTCATTATGGAAAACAAAATGAAGAAGCTCAGTGATTCCTGTAATACACAGGAGCTACCTGGACTCCTCAGAAATCAGTTATCAAAACAAAATGAGCGCAATCTGCATTTAAAAYATATTTACTTTAAATTGTTAACAATAGGAGTTAAGGTCATATAATTACATCTGATAATATGATTAATATCCTGCAGCAAACTGGCCTTTGAGGTTAGTTACTGTGACACCATTTTATTCCAATTATTATAACAACGTGACATGAATGTGCTGCTTAACATACCTCCACAAGTAGTTTAGCATGCTGCTTTTTACCAGYCTCTATTCTTTCATCCACTTCTTTTTTTCTTTCCTCCTCCCTTGAGAGAAAGAAGTTTTTCTGTTTTGTTAAGTGCAGCTTCTTCCACTGAAGCATTGCTCTAGGACAGAGGCATAGGAGGAAAGTAAAACTGAAATTGGGAGATAAACATTCAAGGGATATACGTAAGATTTTTAGACACTAATTTAAGGCACTAGAAGATTCAAACAGATTTGCCWTAACTTTGACTACAATCGAAATGGTTTAGGTAGAAGTTCCAGCTCCTCAAAATCCACAAAAAGAGCAGCCTACGTGGTAAATTCAGTGGTTGTCACCACCTGGTATTACAGCAATGCTACTCAAATGAAGTGACAGCAGTACGTGAGGAGATGGGCTSTTACTGCCAGCACACCACTAATTATTTACATCGTGAGTCCTTRGTTTTATATCTCATATAAAACAGCAGCAACAAAATGCAATAATTCATTAGTTTGCTGCTTTATTTCTAAAGCAATGCAGACATGCTAGTTAATACTACCTCATCTCACTTTCGGACTTCAAATTTTGCTCTAGAAATTTCAGTCCCTTTTCATAGCTCTGCCTCAGGCTTCTGTGGGGAAGAGAAGAGAAATCCTCAGAARGAGAGCTGAAGGTTTGCACAACATGTACTTTACGTTGATTTTTTAGGATAGTCTTCACAAATTTCCTTTGCACCAGCCAACATGCTCAGCACTTCCACTAGGTAGAGAGAGGCAACGCAGTATGAGGGTCACATCTCAAAAAAACTTACATATTTGGGTTCAGCCACAGCTGCCTGTCTCACCTGTTGTTTCTCAGGCTGGATTTATCAGTTTAGAATTAAGAGGCTCTCGTTAGGAACTAATGCAAAGCTGAGGGCCTTTTCTTTTTTTCTTTTTTTTTTTTTTTTTTCCAGGCCAGAAACAGTACACAAATCCAAACCACAAGAACAGACGCTTCAGAAATGAAGGATTACTAATACACTAGTGTATTTGAAGCAAGTATTACAAAAGAATATTCACAGAAGTAGAATTTCTAACCAGATGGACAAATTGATTTTAATTTGCTATTATACACCTTCTAGTTCATTACGTATGATAAATACTAAAATGGATTAACTTTATATGGATTCAATGCATCCATAGGGGAGTTCAGTAAAATAAGAAGGGTTGTAATRTGAATCAGCAGTAAGTTGTTCCTGTACATGTGAATTACAAGGGAAAAATGTTCTTAGAAATGCTGCTGATTTTTACTCCTTCAAGGTTCAAAGGTGGGAGAAAGCAGCTGCTCCAAACCCCACAGACTTGCACAGAGGTGGATATGGAGCTTTCTCCCAAAGCTATTGTTCAAAGTGCAACCAATCCCAAGCCAATACACCAAGAAATTTCAAGAGAAGCTGAATGTGTCCCAAATAATGACTACACAACTTCACTACAAGTTCTCCTCCTCTTYAGCACTGCATGGCTACCTAATCCTCTTCCCTTTTGTCATCCACATTTACATGACTACAATATCTCTGCCAGGTAAAATGAAGACAGTGCTCCTAACGAGACAGAGATGGACTTCATTTCCTGCAGAGCAGAATGAACGTACTGTAGGTTTTCATATTCAATATGGATCTTGCATATTCAATGTGAAAAGGCAGGTGAGCAATATTTTTTTTTCTCTTTATCTATAACTATACCCAGAAGTAGGACAACTCCATATTAAGGAAAATTCCATAGGAGGATTCCAAGAGATAACAGGAAGACTCTGGCAGCAGAGTCACTCCAGTACCAGAGTATCAAAAAGTTGCACAGAACCCAGGACAATTAGTTAAAATATAGACTGATTTAGGAGATATAGAACTAATTGGCTGAACCTTTTCGCTCCATCTTGCAAAGAATGAAGACTCGCACTTCCATGCCTAGATACCACTGTAAAAGGCTGTGGCTTAATCCAAGACGTGGTACCACCATATGTGGTTAAAAATCACAACAGTTGTTTGGCAAGTTTTACGTTCTGTGTTGTCTCAATACCCTTCATTACTTTATCTTCCTTACTTCATGGTAACGACCTACATAATGAATTATAGTAACTTACAACTAACTTTTTTGCTGCAGGAAGTTTCCTACCAGCTTGCCAGTATGGTTTATAAATCCATTAAACATCCCTATTGAATGCTACATTTCAGAATCTTGCAAACCAGCTGCGCTCTTGAGTAAACTGTACTGAGAACATTTACTGCTGTCAAAATGGAAAGATTACATACAGTAGATTAGCTCCAAGATTTTCAATTTCCTCTTCTAGGCTTTTCTCTTCCACCATACGATTTTCCAAAAGTTCAAGATTTTCATCTAGCAGAACGGATAATTTTCCCAGCCTACAAGAAGAAATATATATATATATATATATATATATTAGACTTTTTTTTAGATTAGATCCTTTGTGAGGCATAAATGTGATCTCACTCTGTAACAAGAAAGCCCTAGTCAAAAAACCACATACTTTACAAATCTGTATCCAAAAATCTGACAAGTAAAACCTACTTTTCCACRGTTTTATCCCTTTTCAGAGCCCAGTGTTGTTCTTCTTCCTCTAATTGCTGGTACTTTTGGTGTGCTTCTTTATTTTCAAATTTAAGCTTTTTATTTAGGTGTTCAACATTCTGTAGCTCTCTTGTAATCTAGAAGCAAGAAGCACTGATGTTAGCTGATTATTCTTTCTCTATCTGCTTTATCTCATAACAATATTTTATATTGCTCTAGTGCATCAGAAGATCWTAGAGAACCTCAGAGTGAACGAAGATTGCCAACACAATTAGCATKTGTGAACGTCAGATCAAGATCTCTTCTCTGGATCTTCATATCCATGATCCCGTGCAAAYCAACTGTTTGGGAACAGCTTGACATAGCTTGCAGGCCCTGTGCAGACACCCAAGTTAGCCTTAAACTGGCACAGTTTTACTGTTACTAGCACAATGTGGCCACAGCAGATGAAGCTGACATTGCTATAGGTTAATTTAAATCACTTTTCCCAGAAGGTATGTAGCAGGAATGAAAAAAAGATGGTGAGGATGGCACGGAATGGAAAAAATTAATGAGGCAATGACTCTTAGCTGGATAAAGTAAAGGCTTTGTAGACTTCCCTGTGACCATCAGTGACCTGGAGAAAGCAATCAGGGAAGAGCTACTACGTGTCTGTCCAGCATGGGAAGGATACTCATGCTCACTCCCCTCTGTGTATCCCTTAGGTCTCAAGACCACCCCATGTGGACTCCCTGCCAAAGGGCAGATCTTGGCATTATGTTCAGAGCATGAMTAGGAAGGAAAGCTCCAAAACGCTCCATAAATGTTCGCTCTCTGCAAGCACAGAAGCACAGGTTAATCAAAGCACCCAACGCACCTCACATGTAAGATTTTTTGCAGGCTTGCTCTCAGTGAGTGTTTTTAGTAAGACAAGGMTTAGTAGAACTGGAGAGGCAGAATAAAAATCTAATAAATAAATAAAAATCTTACCCTTTCAAGTTCCTTATTCAAAGCATCTTTTTCATGCACAAATTCAGATTTTAAAATCTGTATGTCAGAATCAAGCTGTTCTCTATTAAACAAAGTAATTTAGACATATTTAGGTGGACAATAACAAAAAGTTATTAACTATTACACATTTTTATTCCCAGGCTTCTCACAAGAGACTGTGTGAATTTCTGCATGTATTTGGATCCTGTGCCATTCAAGGATCCTTATTAATTTCTTCCCTCCAAGAGATCTCATGGGGAAAAAAAAAACTGAAAAGAAGGAAGGATGTAGAGAACTGAAAATACAAGCCAAGATAGGAGAGCTTGTGGAAAATGATAATATCTTATATAGACAAACTGATAAGTAAGACCAAGACTACATTGACCAGATTCTTTCTTTAACTCAACTGTCCAACTTATCTATTTCACTAAATAGAGGAAGTTTTGATGGTCAAAGACTCTAAAAGAAATAAAGACACTCAATGCTGATGATCTATAAAAACACATTTGTAAATGAACAGAAAGACCGTGTTTTTCTTCTACTAAGACAGCCTATGAAAATCACCATATTCTACAGGTCCATTTACATTCACCAGCTCACAACTACTTGAACCCTCGAAACACAGGCATGGTCAGCGTCAATGAGTCAAGTCAATATTCAGGAGGGTACAGATTTATAGAMGCTTATAAAGCAGCTTATAACTGCTTATAGAATCAAAGGCCACGGCTGGGCCATGCTGCTCGTATTACAATATTTGCATTGTTARTTAATGTCAATATTCATTTCATTAAGACATCTGCCATCAAGAAAAACACTAGTTAAAAATAGTTCAGAGCAATGCATTCTTTTTTAACCAARTTTCCAAGGATTCGTATTTCTTCTTTACACAGCCTGTAAAGGGAGGATGGTTCAGACAAGAAGTCTGAGTCAAAAGGAAGATTTCCTTGTTTTTCTTTTCCAATACATCATTCCCATAACCCCCCAGAAGGTCTGCTGCTGAGCCAGAGAAGCAGCCATGGACATAGGGAAGAGCAAATTAGTTCAGTCCCTGATGTCTTCCTTAATTTTACTGTATGGTCTCTGAAGCCACAAAAAAGGCCCCCATTTATAAAGAGATAATTTGGCTCTGTTAGTTCTCTCAGATATTAAATAGTTTACCTACTTTATAGACTGGTTCTTCATAAATATTAGTGTAAACTTCTTCAGAATATATTGATGTAGTTTTAGCAAAAAGATCAAAGAGTGTAATAATTCTTACTTCTTTTTCAAGAGTTCCAACMTGTTCGTTTTTTTTAATTTCAGGTTTTTTTCCAGTTGCTTGCTTGTTTCTTTATATTTTGCTATGAGAGACTCTTCATTAGATATAGCCTATTAAAATAAAACATACTGACATAATGCATGGAATTTCCAAATTGCAAATAATCCCTTCCCTCCTGCAAGTAGTCTTTTTTTTTTTTTACTTTTTAAAAGTTTGCCTAACATCTTCATGACATCCTCCTGTACTATTGTTTAAACACTCGGAGATTTCATAGGCAAAATTACTGACAGTTTAAAAAAAAAAAAAGAGGAAATAGTGGTCAAGGCTGTTTTTATTATATTTAATAATTGAAAGGGCTTTAAAAGCATCAACTCAAGGTGATAATGAAAAGAAAATTTAAAAAATGTGACCTATAAACTCTGTCCTYTACGGCCTTTTATTTGCTGTAGAGTTAACTTGGGTACAATTTTGGAGTTTTATTAGCTGCTCAGCTAATTATTAGTAGCTCAGCAGATATTCAAGTCAACACTCATATTTTTAGGTAACTCTGTAGGAAACAGAAGACAAAGACACWTTTTTTTTTTTCCATAGTTTTCTCAGAAAACCTATCCCAGCAAAAAGGGGAAAATCCTTTTGAAGCTGGCAGGATTATCTAGTAGCCAATATTAAGTAGAGAGCAGACAGAGGAAGCCTGGGTGGATATTTTTATCCATATTAGCTTCGRCTTTCCAGGTGTTGTGCATCCTAAAGACTGTCATGTCCGCCAGGATGGAGTGATTACACTGGAGGATGCATGGAGAAAGACATTAGAGGAACATTTTATCTTTTCTAACTTTCTTCCAGTTTCTCCTCTTTATATCACTCTTGAACTTTATGAATGTTTCCTCTCCATGTTTATACCAACGAGTATTCATTGAGAGTCATTTTGTTTTTTCAGCTAGTCCCCCAAAAAGATGCACCAGAGCCATGTAGAGGGCTGGGGCCCAGAGCATCCTCTCACTCCTTTTTTTTTTTTTTTTTGTGTGTGTGTGTGTTCCCTATAAGTGCATCTTTATAAATTAATTCACTAGCAAGGAGTAGCCAACAATTTTGTTACACTAGTAAAAATACATAAACCCTCTATTTTTGACAGTGACTTTATAACCAAGTAATTAACTCAACAATGCCCGTGAATTAGACATCAAGTATGCACATTTTTTTCTTAAAAAATAGCGTCCCCAATTTTCTCTAAATTCCCATCACTCTGATCAATTATGAAATTAAATTTCGATCTCCATTTTAACACTGAAATAAGAGCTTTTTTTTGTGAATAACTTACCACTGAATTCACCATTATTAAATTCTCTATGTTCAATGATTTTATATTCAAGGCTTCATATTTATCCTTTTTCTCTGAAGTTTTTGCCTGCTGAGTATCAAGGATTCTCTTCATTTCTTTCTCCTAGATAAATAATACAATTAATTTATCCTTAGCAGTGCACTGTGTATAGTTTAAAAACATATGTTCAAACATAACCATTTCTGGAGCCTTCCAAAAATCAGATGAGTACAAAATTTATATTAGAAGAAAATAATTTTCTGCAAAAGCCACAGCGATGTATCAGCTGAACACATTTTGTTCACAAACAAAACAATAATWTGTGAACATAATATGTGAATTAGGATCTGATCAGGCAAAATTTCACGTGATTTTATTTCCAATGTAGAGACTTGATTATAACATACTAAGAACAGAGTTACAAATTTGTTCTGCGGAAAAACAGTTCTTACTAGGAAGTTGTCTTTTAATTTATCTATTTCTGTTTTTTTTTTTTTTTTTTTTTTTTTTTTTTTTAGAAAGGTTTTCAAATATACACAACTGAAAGAAGGGCTGAGCACAAAACCAGCAACACCCAATCACAGAGCCTGCTGGAAATACAGGTGTTTTTATCTTAAGCAGTGGGTCTGGAGGACTTGAAATCCCAGCCTGTGATGTATTTGTCCCACAGCCAGTAAGAAGCATAAATATTACAGATGACATTCTGAGAGCTGCTATAGAAAATAAATTTTATCTATCACAAAATTTTGATGTGTGTGTGCATTTGTGGRTGTATATACATATACATTGTACACAGCACCTTAGCATAGGTATGCAGAGCCAAAACAGTTTGGGAATCTGTGCATCCCATGGTTAAAGTGATCCCATGTACATCCTTCTTTGCTTCTATGGAGGCAAAATTTGGCTTCACGTGAGAAAGTTAAGCGTAACATTGAGTGTAATTTCAAAAGTGATTTCATTGTTTGGTGCTATGTAAATCTATATATCTATGCTATATAACTGACCAACTGTGAAATGTATTTCAAAGCTCTACCTTTAATTTACAGTCTTCTTTTTCTTTCCAMAGTTTCTGCATTTTTACTGCTACTTGTTCTTTCAATTCTTTTAATGCTGCTTTTGCCCTGATTATTTCTTTTTCTGTATCTCTTGTTTTCTCCCARGTATCATTTAAGAGAACATTTGTGTTAACTTTCCTTGCCATCCTTTCATTCAGCAACTCTATAATTCCCTGATACTGCATCCGCAAGCGGTCTTGCTCCTCACTGGAAAAAATAACAGAAGGAAATGATATTTCATTCAGATCAAAGACTTGGTTCAAATGGTTGTGGAAATGAACACTTGACCATCCATACATCAACACTATATGTACTAAAAGCATGACATGCACCCCTAGCTGTGATTCAGGTCATCTAAGAGCTGGTATTTCAGGGGAAGAGCTTTCTCTCTTCCTTTTCTAGGCTTTACTCCTTCTGGCATGATTATTTTCTATATGTTCTGCTAAACCAAAAATGCTGCTTTCAAGCAAGGGAAGAATGAAGAAAACAGGCTTCCCCCATGAAAATGCAGCGTGATTTATTTTTAAACAGCTCTAGCAGCATGGCAGAAGGTGACAGGAAACAAATATCTCCCATTTCTGCATTCACTTGGGATAACTCCTTGAAGGGCAAGATGGATTTCTGTCTCAGCTGCTGACCAGGATTTCTTGAATCAGACCTGCTTTCAATACATACATATACTTCAAACTGAGAACCATCATCTTTGCAGTTGTTTCTTACCATTAACTGTTAAAAGAGAAGATTCTCCCCACTGCTRCGAGAAGCAAATCTGCAGCCAGGTTTCTGTACACCAGTTTATCGGGGCCACAGGGGGCCGGCAGCAGCAGCCAGGCTCCACATTCAGGAAACAAGATCTTAAAAATGAGGCTTGCTGCTGCAGCCAGGAGTTTTCTAGGGACATTTGCAGCGAGCTGCAGGGTTGAGGGATGCACAATTCACCATCACCTCTCCCTCCTCATCTTGCTGGTGTGATTTTCCTTGTTCCAATGCGTACGTACCACAGGGCAGCGTTCTGCTTTTCACTAAGGTTTTGCTTCTCATCCAGCGATGCAATTTCACGAGCAACGCTTTTCAGGGCAGCCTGCAACTGCTCTATCTGAGCAGCACTCGATTCACGAGCAGCAGTAACAAGGGCTGAAAAAATAAATGCAAAACAGGCAGAGGCCTCTCAGCTATAAAAAGGCATATATGAGATAATGCATAAAGGGGCTGATCTATAATCTCTACTTCATTGCTGTAGACTGTGTCACCCAGTAAGGGGTAGCTGTCATTCTAAGTGACTGTGTAGATAATATTCCCTAAATCACACAAATTATTTTATCATTTATTATTTATTATTTTATCATTTATTATTAGTCTTATCACATTTTTCCTGACTCATCTGTATTTGCTGCTGAGAAGAAGCCTGCAGTATGAGAGTCTCTTTTTCATGCTATACATCCAGGAAATTCCCACCACACATAAACTACTTTTTTAAGATTTTTWTTTTGTTTTCTTGAAAGCCCTCTGCCCAGATGGAGGGGTAGAACAGCATCYCCTTGCTAAAAATCCAATGACATTTCTTCCTGAGGAGGTGCTGCTGCATGAAAGCAAAGAAACCCCTCGATGCAGGTGTCTGGTGGCTCAAGCTGGTCTGTGCAGGGGCGTTGCACTGCAGCATCTTTGCAGCTTCTGAGGTAGCAGCACATTTGTGTGCAGCCTCCCCCACAGAAACACTCAGGCAGTGCAGAACAGCAGCAGCTACAATAAACAACCTGCTAAATGCATAGCAACCACATGGTATAATAGGGGAAATCACTTTGAAGTGAAGTCTTACCTGTTTTTTTTTTAAATAATTTTTTTTTAAAAAGAGAGAATTTTTCTCCCTAGAGCTCAAAGCTTGTTTTTATTTAGATGCATTTGAGCTAATCCTTAGCCTCCCTTCACAGACAATGCAAAGAAAGACTCCATGCAGGAGTATTTGGTCAGAAGAAGGCCACTCAGAAGTAATCTCACATCAGATAAGTGACATTAACCCTATTTTACAAAGGGGAAGCTTGCAGCATGCAAGGCATGCAGTGCTCCACACCATGTGTCACAGAAAGGCTGGGATGGGAATTCAACGCTGTGGTTGAGGGTTCTCTCCACTATTGCTTGTGCATGGTCTTCCGTGAAGTTCTCTCTCATTTATATTACTCTGAGATAATATTTCTTTAGGGTATCACATGACAGTGAGCACCCATCCTCTTATTAATCAATTACCATTAATGAATTACTGCAAGTGATTTACCTGTCAGTAAGATTTACGTTATAGAACACTGCTTCAACTTGTTTAAATACTCACCAAATTCAGCTTTCTTCTATTTTCAGATGTGGTTAAGTCAGTACTACCTACCTGTCATCTCTGCCATAATCACTCCTCGGAAGTGCCGCGTTCTGACGCGAAGTTTGCTGTTTTCAATGGTCTCCTCTTCCAAGCGTTCAAGGGTTTGTCTTCTAATTTCTTCCTGACAATTAATAAATTCACAAATACCCATAGTGGAAGTCAGAACTAATACTACAAGAAAAAGCACTTTTTTTTTTTTCTTGCAGAAAAAATAAACAAACAATATTTTGCCTCTTTTTTACCTAGATGACATTGGATGTTTTCTGCCTCTACATGCTTCATCCCCCTTGCTCAATATTTGCTCTCTTTTTTCCTTTCTTTCCCTCTTCAGATAAGAACTAGCTTGTTCTACAGCTACCCACAATCAGGTAGCTTCAGTAACTCTTCTGAGAGGTGCCATCTTCAGGAAGCTGTCCCCCATATCTCCGCTACAAAAAAAGTGTTGGCAAGGAAGTCTTTAGCTGTCACCTTTTGCCATTGAAGGAGAAAGGTGTCATTCTCCTTCCCCAATGCCTAAAGCTCTACTGAAGTGAAAGGAGAGCTGGCTTTGAGATACACTGTCACCTGGCTCTTTCTTTCTGGTGTGAGAAGGGTCTTTTTAGAGTGATGGCAGAGCAAGAGAAAACAGACTGAAGCAATTGCAGAAGTAGTCCTTGAACAACTGAATCCCTAAACTGGTATGACTGAGAAGTGCAGGTGGGTTGATACAGCCCCCAAAGTCTGAGAAAATAAATGTTTAACTGGATTTTGACAGTGGTTATTAGTGACATGGCTTATGCATAAACTCAGTTCCATCTTTCTCCTTGAGTTCTCTCAGCAGCTACAAGCAGACACTGTGAGAAGTTGCTCTCTGGAGAGCAAATTCTGTATGTATGCACATAAACCACTCTCCTTTCCTTGAGACAATGAAATATTTAGAAGTGTAAAATTAATATGCGAAAGGTTTTAATTTCATATGAATTACACCCTCAATTAACTGAAGCAGTGAAAAAGAAAACAGCTTTATGATTTCAGCACATTATATAAACACTTATCTGAGAGATTAATACAGAGCTGGTCTGAAGTAGATGATTTAGAGAAGCAGTGGGGGAGAACAGAGAGTTTTAAAAGATTTACATTTATCTAGACAAATATGGAGATACTTTTAAAAATATATTCTGTTTGAAGCCATTCTGGCTTTAATGACCTTTGAAGTCTTCCAAGAAAATCTGTTTGCCTATGAACAGTCACCCTCAGGTGACGATTGCTCCAAGATCTCTTATTACCACACACAACGCAGTTATATCAAGAAAAGTCGGAGTGTTGAAAAAAAATTAAATTGCACCGATTCAGAGGACAAACTACATGTCTGCTACTCCATACCATCTGCTGAACCAAGTGACATTAGTGGATATAACCTCACAATCGCCTTAGGRTGCTGATGATATGAAGCACTCTATGTATGTTGACCTCTTCCTTCTGGGGATCTTCATGATGCTCCTATTCATTCACAGTAGATCTGGGGTTGATGTCTCTTGCTCAAAGTCATTCAACAAAAATGATGATAAAGATGGGAAACAGAACTTCTTGMTGAGCACAAGACCCCTCTTGACTTCAGCAAAAGCCTAGGACCTCCTCAAATTTTACTAGCTCCTAGGGAAGGTGACAACTGCTCTTCCCAGAATAAGACATTGGTCCCACAACAGGAGAGATGAGGGCTGGATCTGCTCCTTGAGTTACCCCAGTCAGGGTGGCTTGTTCTACTGCAGTCAAACCTCTGTGGGCGGGAAAGCATCCACCAAGTTCACCTGCAACTGCCTCTCTCTTAATAGAGTGTACATTACACAAACCCTCTGATGTTRTAACTGTAAATTAATAATTGCATGGCTGCCAAGTAACTCTTGTCCATATACTTAAAGCTAAACATTAGATTTTCTTACCAATTTCTTAATAGCAGCAATAGTATCTTCAAGATGCTGCACTGTTTCCCCACTGAATTCATAGTCTTCATTTTTCAGCTGTTTTTCTGAATGAAAAATACAGAAAAAAAATTATTTTTTAAACTTCAAATATTGCTCCATTGTTCTGAAGAATTACTATGAAAGGGAAGGATTTGTTTCTTAATTCATTGCTAAATCTGTTCTGCCACATTCTAAACTAGGTCAGTGTCTTTCACACTCCTCCTCCTGGTGCACAAGAAAGGCAGAGGCACAAGTGCTGTATGTGGTCCAGAGGACCTGATAACATGTTCGGTCACACATGGTTACAATGCAAATTTTGCAAAAATGATCTTTTAAAGCAGTCACTGAGAAAAGTTAGTAGAGGTTATTAAAATAGAGTAAAAGCTGTGGATGGAAATAATTTCCCTTTACGTAGGCTGTAGCTAATCTTTAGAATTTTTGTCAAGCAGTTATGGCTTCATTATGTCTCTTTCCAACTAGAAATACTAATCCGGATGCATCACAGCCTGAAGTGAGATTTACGTTACAGCTGAAGCTACTCTTTGTATTGTTAAATTTAATTTAATTTCAGCTGCAATAATAATCGCCGGGATTTGGATTCTGTAAAAGATTAGTGTACCTGTTACAGTGGCATGACTCTTTTTTATACACTATCTTTGCAACAGGGACTAAATCCCTACATATAAATATATATTTATAAAAGTAAATTCTTAATCCAAGCATAAGTGAATCTGCCTTTAATATGACCTATGAACCTGCTTGAAAACTAGAGACTTTCTCACTTCACTATGATTTTTACTCTGAGCTAGTGGGAAGAAAGGCCRGATGCAGGCACTACCTCTGCCCTATGTGCCCATCCTTAGGCTTGATGACAATAATCTATCACCCTGGCATTTTCCACAAAATAGTGGCTCCTAGTGGGAGAGATGACAGAAAACAAACCCATTTAAGTAGCAAACTGTAGCGTGGGTGTAAGACAGGGCCATCTTCACAAATTACTACTAATTCTAAGCAATTGCTTCCAACTGAAGTAATTTCCTTTTTTTAACTACTTTCAAATTAACATAATTGTGAGCTATCTTCCTCAGAAACACATGAAAATTTAGGGAATATTATGCATAAATAAAAATCTATCTTAAGCTCTGCTTGTCAATCTTTTTTTCCCAGTTCTTTAGATCCTCACTTCCAGGTTCCCATTTTCTCCTCTCATTTATTTTTCCTCTCCTTTTTCCTTTCACTTACTCTCTCACATCCTTCAGAAAAAAAAAAAAAAAAAAAAGAGATGAAGCATTTTTTCAGTGTCTTACTTTACCCTTTACTGAGCCAAAACTGAATGACAAATGTAAACTAAACCTCAATAAAGTATAGCTTCCCCAATTTTTCTTTAGCAAGTGACCTCTTTCTAAAGCCTTACCATTTTTTCTTACATGCTGCTCCAAAATTCAACCATTTTTCCTCCACCCACTTCACTGCCAAAACTCTTCTCCTAATCAAACCTTTAAGTCTTTTTAAAATGGCATAAAAGTCATGGTGACTTATCTAGAAATGTCATCTATCACCTCACATTCCACCTCCTTGCATCTCTCTTTCAAGTGCCACACACACAATTTTCTGGCCCCAAAACAGCATCAGTCACAGTTTTTCCCCTGAACACAACAGAGTAATACTTGAGATACTTAAGGATACTACATTCTCAAAAGCCATAAAGTTACATGCCCCACCTGAAATCCCTCCTCAAAATCCCAGCTCCTTAGGGCACATGATGAACTGCAGTCTGACAGTGGCCAGGAAGGCAGAGCGCTCAAATCACAGACATCTACTGACCATTTATTTTCACATCGTATTAGATCTCTTGCCAGAGCTTATGTCGCCCCGTGCCATTTGTCACAGCTGTGGATGATTTTTCTGACCTCTAGATTACGAACTCTTTAAGGAACACTATGCACTATGGCTGCATGACCCTTAAACCCAGCCTGTGGGGATAATGCCCTGCAACATGTCTCAAAGGTAATGGGAAAGCTCAGAGCCTTGCTCCACACTGCCCTTAATTTGACAGCTGAGGTGCCCAGAAGGGAACATTTTGTGATATACATCTATAACCACAAGCTGTCCCAATACTGGCAGTTTACAGGAAAGCAATTTTGTCAGACAAGAATAACTTTCCATTACCATAAACCAGAACTGACAACAACGGAAAGTTTTGAATGTTCTGAATTGAAAAAATTTGAAAAGATAACCAAAATGCAATACACCCCCAGTCCAAAATCCATGCCTGGAGGCTGCTCTGCCTCAGTGCACACCTCAGCCTCCTCCGAAAGCAGTACACTACAGCCAGAGGAAGCTTGCTCCAAATTTGTCTCCTGGCATTTAGTTTATTTGTTGCTTTTCCTCTGGCTAATTTTATTATTCTTAGCTCAATTTCCTTGCTTACAACCTCACRTAATCCTTCTGCATGAAGATTAATCTCTCCTCCTAAAGCAGATTCATTCTGCTGTTAAGTCATCGCTTCACCTCTTTCACGAAGGCCTTTGTGCCAGATTGCTGAATTGCTCCAATTTTGTGTCTCCGTAATCCATTCTGCTGCCCCGGAGGCAGGCTGTATTTCTTACGAGAGACACTGTGATAAATAGGACTCTGTAGGTCACATTTATCTTCCAAGAGAGCCCACGAGCAGACAACCAAGGAAAGAGAATTAACATTCAAGACAACTCAAGGGCTCCTCAGCTCTCCAGACCTGAAAGCAATGAATTTGTGTTTTGGGAATATTTGAAATTTCCTCCCGTTGGACATCATGCCACACGCTCGCTTCAAGGCCGAGGGCACTGTGGGCATCGGTCTCACACCACCTGCCACAGCTCCAGGCCAAGCCACACTCTTCCCTCATGTTCCACCAGGCTCCCGGGTGAGGATTTCTGGACATTTCTGCCCCATAACATCCCTGTTATTTGTAGCAAGGTTTATACCCACATAGAAGCTGCAGCTSTTCATGAAAATACCAGTCTGGGATTTTTGTTTGTTTGCTTTAAACAGCGTTTCCAGAAAGAAGATGTAGCAGGAAAAGGCTCAAAGAGGAAAAGCCCTAGACATCTTCACATAGCTGCTTGCCAAAAAGTCTTGGAAGTCCCACAGAGCAACCAGATGGCCACAGACAGGAAGAAAACACATTAATAAGCACGGCCACAGCCCCATTTCGGAGCACGCAGCCCACATGGGGTCCCTCCCCGCCATCCCTGGCCATGACCCTGTCCTTAGGCTTTTGCCACCTCCATGTTACCTGTGCTTGAAGGGGTCAAGCGGGAGAGACAGCCCACGGGGATGACGTTACGTGGGTTTTTTAAAAGACCAGTAAGGTTAAGAGAAAGCTACACTCGTTTTCCCTACAAAACCCATGAAATAGATGTTAAAAGCCAKCATGGCAGCTCCCTCACCCCCGAACAATTAGTTCTCCCATTGAAGGAGCAACCAGCCCCACTGGGAGCCTCCCTGCACCCCGTCTCCCTCCGAGCACCCACCCAGGCCCTGCAGGCGGCCCAGGGCGGCCACTGCCACCATCATGGTGGCCCCAGCAGGTCCTGTCCTTGCCACAGCAGCCTGTGCAGGCCTCACCGTTGCCATGGTAACCAGGCCCAACAGTGCCCACAGTTTGGGCACTGATGCCCACCTAAGTCATTGGTTTTTTTTTTTTTTTTTCCCCCTTTCCCCCAAAATCGGTCTAAGTCACTCTTTTGGCCAGAAAATCTGCTCAGCATCATAAATGACTTGCTGACTGATAGTTTGAGGCCTCAAACTCCTACCACAGACAATAAATTAAGTCATGCTCAAATTAAAGTGTTGCGTGGATCTTTACAGAGTCACATGCGGCCTTCTCAGGAAAGGCAACACATACAGTATTTTTAGGTCGCAGCAGGTAAACTTGATAATTCCAGKCCTTGGAAAGCATGGTGGCATCCCACCCTCTCCAAATATGCAAGGTTTAAAAACATTAATAATAAAGCTTTTGCTTCTCCAAGACTTCAGGCTATGTTGAAGTCACATTTTGAAGCTATTTCATTGAGTATAGAAGATTCTAAAAGTTATCTGTTTTGTTAATGAAGTTGCCTGTACTTGCTTTATCATATTAAAAATAACCTCTGAGAAGAAAAACACCCTCTCTCCAAAATTTGAGATAAACTGATGATTCACTCCATTGTATGGAGGTCTAGAAGGTGCAACTCAATTACTTATGTGTGGAATAAGTTTATAGAGACAAATAGCAATCTGCCCTATCACTTTACAACTATCCAGAAAAAAAAGTTTAATAGCAAGTAGTGAAATTTCATTCTGGAGATAACCAGCCTGTAATGAAATGGCCCATTTCCTTCCTATGTATTTATGGCTGCTACCACCCTGCTAAGCTGTTACTGGAGACCTTCTTTGTTACCAGTCAATCTCAATTTATGGCCCAGCAAGGGATGATGAGCAGAGGTGGAGCCATCTCTCACCTCCAGCACGCTGACAAATTGCTTTCAAAATTGAACTATGCCAAGAACATCCATGTATTATACGATCTGCTGTTAATCCTATATATTGGGAACTCACACGGAGCCTGGCCCTAAGAGGGGTCCTTACCTACTCATGAAGCWGGCAAGAGATGTGCATGCTTCCACCAACATGCTTGTGTAGTCTGGTTATGCAAAGGTTTTCCAGTTTCATTGGTCACAAATATGGCACAAAATAGCTGCATTTACATCATAATTTCGCTGCAAGTATAATAACAGTATCTGGGGGAAACAGTAACCTCTGGGCTAATAGAAGACAGGTCCATAAATTCATCTTAAAAACAAACAAGCAAGAAAAGTCCTTTGCACAAGACCAGTTTGTTAGTTGYGCTGCAAGATGAGGCTCTTGGTCAGAAAAATCGTTTTTCTGAAATCATTTTAGGTCTCAGAGGGAGTCGAACTCCAATAAACTTAGTTATTCCAGAGCATAGGCAGTTTTGTACCTGACCACCAGTGGAAATGCAGGTACCTCTGGGACAAATAAACAGATTGATTTCTATAATATCAAGGTGCTGGGGGAAAGTTTTCAATTCTCCCTGTGAATTTAGCTCCTCGGCTGGAAATTGTATTGAAGGAAAAACTAGAGGTAGTTTCCTTTTCACACAATTCAATCTTAAGCATTTCTAGACAGTAACTTACCCATTCTTCCTAGTTTTTTTTTTCCCCAAAAGTTTTCCCCCTGCCCCTGCTGTGGTAATACAAGTAGCCTGGAAAACTATCTCAGAGGAGTTAATAGATTTTAATAGGAAATATAATCCTTTTCTGCAACAATAGTATAAAATCAAGATGTGAAATTTGAATTTGTTTTCCAACAGATTTCCAAGACAGGGCTTTTGTAGAATTTAAAACACTCCTGCATAACTGCAAGAAACTTTAACATTTAACAGCAAATTAAGAAGCTCTCTCCAAAATGGCTTCTAGTGGCTTCTACAGAAAAGGTCACATGCAGGGCTATCTTCTCTTTCAGAGATAGACCTTTTCAGTTACAGTCATGCTGCCTGTTCAATTACAGTCACACTATTCCACCATGACTTTATCAGCAGATGTTACCTTCAAACTCTTTTCAAAAATGAGGTTGGTAAAAAACGAGGTCTGGTTGTTCTTCCCAAAGAGAATGGTCCAGGCTTAGAGTTGATGTGATCTTGAGAGCACGGCTTAGACTTCAGTAGATCCCTTCTTCCATATCAGAGGAGCATCTGGGATGTTTTCCCACTGCTAAACAAAACCAGAGGCTGTCTGATGGTTAATGCACTGTGGGGGGGGGAAATGTGTGTGGCTCCCTGCAGTCATCTCTTGCAACATCACTTTTAACACCAAAAGAGCCACATGGGTGATCACCATCTCCTTATTCCAACAACCATCTCCTTATTCCAACAACAAGGAAACTGGCAGTGTATGAGAACTATTTATTACCTTGGATGACTCTGATTTACAGTGTTTAATAGCTCTTATGTGGTTTCCTGATAATGAATAAATTAATTTCTAAACCAAAAGCATGGAATGTATTTTTTTCAAAATTTTAAAAACCAACCAATGGTATATTTACATTTCTGTATACAGTTTTAACTTTAATCCTGTTTTTATCACTTGGTCAAGCCTTAGGATCTTTGTCTATTTGTGTATTTTTTTTTAGCTGTTTATAAGGAAGATTAAGTAGTGGTTCATGCTTTGTTAGAAATAGTGTCATTTCTTTGTAAGAAATAGTGTCATTCCTGTAATGCTGAGGAACCACCTCCTGAGTCCTAAGTCCAGTATATTCATAGTAAAGTTGCCCTGTGTCAGTATTAAACTAGCTTAAATAGCTTTCAGCTTTCTTTGTATTTACTCCCAGTGTACTTGTGACAAGCAATTAAATCTTTTTCTAGGCTTCATTTTGCTAGATTAATCAAGCCAAACTCTTCTAGACTCATTTCATGTGATGGGCCCTGTTTTTCCCTGAATATCGCAAGCATTTCTTGGCACCATTTTTCTGTAATCAAGTCATACTCTTGCATTTGTGATGCAAAATATCATCCAATTTTTATTGCTCACAGGCTTCAGTATTATCCTACTCTTTCCATATGGCCTCCCCATTTCCCCCTGCTTTTCCACCACTTTACAACTTCATATCTTTAGCTAACTAGGATCTTCTCCATCTGGGGCATGCATTTTCATTATATTAAAGAGAAGATGGAATATGGGTGATGGTCAGGAAGCTTCACTACTGAACTTCCTTTTAAATACTATCAATTACCATCTGCTTTTGAAGTTTTCCTTAAAATATTCTACTAATCAATGTTTTATCCCTTTCACACATAGTATTTCTTATGACACCACATCAAAGACTCCAGCCATAATATCTTCTTTGATTTCCTTTGGAAAAACTTGGGTTACAAGAACACAGTTTGACCCCTGTAACAGAGTCCACAGTATTTCACTGAAGGGAAAGGAAGATTCACTCCASTTTCTTGTGACTGGAGAGGTGTAGGAGCACATTTGGCTAAACAACACTAAAAACAACGTTCTACTTTGAATTTGCACTATTAGTATAGTATGTGAGTCAGACTTATGATTGCTGCTGGGAAAGTGGGTGGGATAAAAACGCTCACAACTGAGCAAGATTCTTGGTTACAATCTAATGTCTGAAAGAAAGTTTAAACTTATATCTGAAAGTTCACACCATGCCACTAGTAGCGTCAGGATGTTTTTAGTCCTTAGCTTTCTTTTAAGCTGACATGTGAAAGCTTGAAGGGTATTATTTTCATTTTCTTAATTTATCCCAGCTCTCTATATATCAACTGGAAAAGGTTGCAGGCTCTTAGATTTGAAGGGAGGAAGGGGGAGAAACTTTGGAAGCGTTTGAAATTTCTGCCCAGAGGAGATAGAAGAGGTGCCTCATCAAATGAGCTCTGAGAGAGCTACAGCCCCACCTCTTCCTAATTAAGTGCTGCAGATTTGCTGATAACTGACAAGTGAAGCTGCTGTTTTGCTGGTTACCATGCAGTAATTATGCTTTTTCGGTGCTGGAGGCAATACTTTTTCACTCAGCATAACAGGCTAATGATTGTGTGCATGGTGCTTTCTCCAAGCATCTGCGGAATTAGGAGGAACAAAATTAGGCCTCATGTCTGACTTGGCAAGTGAAGACTATTTTGTGTAAAGACATCTGCTATTTAAGTCACTCTGCTATCTGGATGATACTTGTCCCTCTTTTTCATTTTTAGTCACAGCTATAAAACATTTCAAGGCGTTTCTGGAGTGGTCTGGGCTGCTTTACATGACTTGGGCTAAATTAGAGATGGAAAACACAACCGATATTGTCTTTACAGCTCCCTCATAAAGGGAAATGTATGCAGAAAGGTCTTACCGTGAATGCCAATTAGCTCCCCTGGACTGAATTATTCTGCAACTTAAACAAAAGAGCCATAAATTGCAACCTGGAGGGTGACTCACTTTGATATTCAGTGAACATGACAAATGACTTGCAAGTTTGAAAGCGGACAGGAGGGAGAGGCGMTCAAAGCGTGTCAGGGATGGGGCTACTTTCTCCTATGGTTTTCTTGGATTAGACCCTTTCTGCTCTCCTTTCCCCTCCCCTTTATCTTCAGCATCTCTTCARCTGAGGCAGAGCAGGAAAGAAAAGGAAGGCAAGAAGAAAGCACTTAGTAGCTGCAAGCCACACTGGGCAAAAACAGGGGCTTGCCACATGTTTCCTTGGGATCATGTGGTGAAGGAAAGGCTGATAAACTTGGAGAGAACCAGCTTGCAAGCCACCAGGAGAGGGATGGGAGCCAGCTGCCATCTGCACGTGAGCAGGGAGATGGCAAACACTCCCTCATCGGGGGGAGACGGCCTCTCTCTAACTGGATTAGCTGCTCGTAGTCAATCATTTTTATCTCCTCCTGACACTAATGTGGTTTATGGTCCTACTCTCACTAGATTAATATTAAAAAGCAGGGGGAGAAAAGGCATAAGAGAGATCAATAACAGCTCAGAGATAAGTAGCTGTGCTGGTGGAAGACTGGAATGTTGCTAAGG